GGCTGGGCTTGGGGGGGTCTCAGCCTCTGCCTGCCTGCCGCCCCTCGCCTTCCCGTCCTCGTCGGGCACGGAAAGCGAGGAGACCCCCAAACTTTCTTCCCAGCCGCCCCCTCCCCTCTCTCTCTCTCTTCCCCCCCCCCAACAGCCCCTGCTTTGGGGGCTGGGATTGTTTTGGTTGGAGGAAGGCACGCGCGCGCGCCCACCCGACGCGCACAGACACACACACACAAACACACACACACACAAACAACTACACACCCCTCTCGCCGCGGGCTAAAAGGCCGTTTTGATGTTCTCCCTCCAGGAGAGCCTGGCCAGAGGGGGGCTGACCATGAAAGAAGAGCCCCTGAGCGGAGGGGGACTCTCGGCTGTCCGGTCTTGGATGCAAAGCACGGGGGTCCTGGATGCCCACACAGCCCTGCAAAGGTAGGACGCAAGAGACGGGAAACCACCCCCCCTCCATCCTTCTCCTTCTTCCCCCTAAGCCGGTGAGGCAGGTAGTGGGTTTCTTCCCTTCCCTCTCCCTGCCCTGCCTCAGTTTCCCCTCCGGCTTGGGCACAAGCTTTTTCCCTACCCCCCCCCCCCATTGCTTCCTTCTTCACGAGGTTGAGAGCCGCCGGGGCAGAAGAGGGCACCTCCACCAAAATGCCCAGGGCTGCCCTGCTGTTTCAGGGTTAGGACCTGGTCTGAACAAACCAGGAATGTTGATTTGCTCCGGCGATGCTTGTTTGAGTGGCTGCAAAGAATTGGGGGTGGGGGGATTTGGAGAGGGTGGTTGTGATGGTCAGCGCTCAAGGTGGGTGGGGGGGGGCTGTCCTGAATATTTGGGCTAAGCAGTGGAACACCCCTACCCCCATCCAAGCATCGCCGTCGAAATGCAGCAGACCCCCTTTGTTGGTGCTCCTCAAGGACCCTCCGGTCCTCTCTGGATGCCCCTGCAGGAGACGACAACACGAGCCCAACACAGCCCTTGTGCGAAGATGACTCTTCGGAGGCTGTTGTGTGGCATGTTGCCGGGACTTTGGGTGATTTGCAAAATGTTCCTTGAAAGTAAAATCACACTTCTGGATTGGAAGAGCAGAAACCTGCTAGAAAGAGCGAGGCTGACTTCTCATTTAGTAACACCCATCATCTTTGCCATTTTTTTTTTCAACTTTCCAGTTATCTTCTAAAGTTCCTTTTTTAAAAAAAAAAACCACACACACAGAAGCTATCAAAAAAAATATAATAATTCTGCAGCTTTAATGATCTTTCCCGATTCTGGAAGTAGAGAACAGGATCTGTTTTATTTTCTTTGTGGCTGGACTTCTCCGCGCGTCTCCAACCCACCTCCCTTTCCGTCTTGCTTTCCAATCTGCCTCTTCCTGCCTGTCAATAAACCAGGGTTGTATGGATCATTCCTCCCCGGGCTTGGACGAATAAGGGAGCTGGTTCTTCTGGATTCAAATTGATTTCCTATCGATCGCAAAGGTCCCCTGACCTTTGACATCCAATCTTGTTGGGCACGGGGGACTCAGCTTGGTTAAACAAAGGAAATCAGAATTAGGCTGCATGGCTAATGAATGGGGAGGTGGGAAGGACAGAGAGAAAAAGAGAAAGAGAGAGGGGGGGACCTTCCCCTTCCCAACTCATCCCCCCCCCCTAAGATTCTCACAGAATTGGATCCTGGCTTCTGCCAGTTAACAGAATATCAGAGTTGGAAGGGACCTTGGAGGACATCTAGTCCAAACCCCCTGCACAAGCAGGAGACCCTATACAATTCTAGACAAATGGCTGTCCAATCTCTTCTTAAAAACTTCCAGTGTTGGAGCATTCACCGCTTCTGGAGGCAGGTTGTTCCACCGGTTAATTGTTCTAACTGTCAGGAAGTTTCTCCTTAGTTCCAGGTTGCTTCTCTCCTTGATTCGTTTCCATCCGTTGCTTCTTGTCCTGCCTTCAGGGGCTTTGGAGAACAGGCATCCCTTCTTCATGGCAGCCCCCCCTTCTTTGTGGCAGCCCCTCAAATATTAGGACATGTCATCACAATCCATCCTGGGGACAAATACTAGTACATAGTACAAGTGTAAGCAGAATAACAAGAGTTGGAAGGGATCTTGAAGGTCTTCTAATCCAGCCCCACGTTCAAGCAAGAGAGCCTGGACCACTTCAGACAAATGATTGTCCAATCTCTTTTTAAAAGCCTCCAGTGATGGAGCGCCCACAGCTTCTGGTGGCAAGCAGTTCCACTGATCGATTGTTCTCACTGTCAGGAAATTCCTCCTTAGTTCCAGGTTGCTTCTCTCCTTGATTAGTTTCCATCCGTTGCTTCTTGTCCTGCCTTCAAGGGCTTTGGAGAATAGGTGGACCCCCTCCCCCTTCTTTGTGGCAGCCCCTCAAATATTGGAAGATGTTATCGTGTCACCCAAATTCACATCTTCATCATCTTTCTGCCATGCCAGCCTTCCCCATCTGTTGGAGTTTGATACCAGGCCTGCATCCTCCTTGGCCCAGACACCCAGTCCGAAGACGCAGGAATCTTGCGACGCAGTTTGTAAATTCACTAGCGCTTTTTCATTATCCAACCTTTCTTTAATTGATCCAGTTCTTTCAGCACTCCCTTTCTCCCACCACACTCAAGTATCCCAAGCCTTTCAGCAGCCCAACCTTTAATTAAAGTACCGCTTTGTAACGCCCTGGTAAGGCCACCCTTGGAATATAGCATCCAGTTTTGGTGGCCACGATATAAAAAAGACGCTGAGACTCTAGAAAGAGTGCAGAGAAGAGCAACAAAGATGATCAGGGGACTGGAGGCTAAAACATACAAGGAACGGTTGCTGGAATTGGGAATGTCTAGTCTAATGAAGAGAAGGACGAGGGGGGACAGGATAGCAGTCTTCCAGTATCTCAGGGACTGCCCCAAAGAAGAGGGAGTCAAGCTCTTCTCTTAAAACGCATGAAAAACGCTTGCAGGAATTGGGTAGCTTTAGTTTAATGAAAAGAAGGACTAGGGGGTGACATGAGGATAATATTCCAATATTGGAGGGGCTGCCCCAAAGAAGAGGGGGTCAACCTATCCTCCAAAGCTCCAGAAGGCAGGACAAGAAACAACGGATAGAAACTAATCAAGGAGAGAAGCAACCTGGAACTAAGGAGGAATTTCCTGACAGTTGGAACAATTAAGTGGGACTCTTGGCGACTCTATGCTTCCAGGTCTCTCCACGTCTTCCAATCTTGCGGTACTCCTGTTGAGTTGCTGGAAAAGATATTCCCCTCTTTTTTTTCCCTATATTTTCTGTGGACCGTCCGCTCCGGAGTTCCCCGGCGCCGTCAGGATGAGTGCAGAGCGAAAGGTGCCTCTTATAAAGCCGGTCTCTGATCCTCCATCGCTGCTAGCCAAGAAGCAGGATGTGTGCTTACCCAAGGCTACCTATTCCATCGTTGGGGATTTAATCCGGTTGTGCTTTCGGTGTGCCACATGTTTCTAGGCTGTGGTTCGGGTCTCTGAGGCAGGGCTCGGCTGCTACAGTTGAGTCCTGCAAAGGCGTTGTGTAGATCTGGCTTGGTGGGTGATTGTCGGTCAAGGAACGATGGGGGGAAAAAATTGCATTTAGCGATTGCTGGATCCGGCTGTAATTGGGCCGTTTTGTCGACGAACTGAAGAGGGTCTCCTTCAAGAATAGAGGAAGGGGCCCCGAGCTAAGGAACTCTACAGTCACAACAAATAGAAAAAGGGTTTTGTTTGGCTTTGAAGAAGACTTTCTTGGAAAAGACCCTGATATTGGGAAAGACGGAGGGCAAAAGGAGAAAGGGGACGGTGGAGGAGGAGGAGATGGTTTTACTGCCTTGCTTCTCCAGAGTCTCGATTGTGGCAATATTTCCCTGTTTCCAGTTTTGGCTCTGGAGCAAACCTTTTCTGTAAATGAAATCTGACTTTCCAAGGAGTCGGTCTGGGAAAGACAGCGGTTGGTCATTACAAGCATCCACATTTTTGGAATATTCCTCATTCTTGTTGGAACCATCTGGGCTGAATTCATTCAGAAAGAAGCGTTGCTGTCTTATTTCTTTTCTTTTTTTTCTAAAGTTGGCCCGGATAAAAATGCCTCTCTCCCTTCTTCCCTCTCTGCCTGTCTGTCCACCCCCCTCTCTCATCTCATCTCTATCTATCTATCATTCTCTATCATATCTATCTATTTTTCTATCTATCTCATTCTCTCTATCCTCTCTCTCTCTCTCTCTCTCTCTCTCTCTCTCTATCTATCTATCTATCTATCTATCTATCTCATTCTCTCTATCCTATCTCTATCTCTCTATCTCTATCTATCAATCTCTATCTATATCTATATCTATATATCTATATCTATCATCTCTATCTATCATTCTCTCTCTATCATATCTATCTATCTATCTGTCATTCTATCATCTCTCTATCATCTCTATCTATCTATCTATCTCATTCTCTCTCTCTCTATCTATCTATCTATTTATCTATCCTATCTCTATCTATCTTATCTATCTATCTCTATCTATCTATCTTATCTCTCTCTCTCTATCTATCTATCTACATCTATCTATCTATCTATCTATCTATCTATCTATCTATCTATATCTATCTATCTATCATATCTATCTATCATGTCTATCATATCTATCTATCTATCTATCTCATTCTCTCTATCATATCTATCTATCATATCTATCTATCTCATTCTCTCTCTATCTATCTATTTATCTATCCTATATATCTCTATCTATCTTATCTATCTCTATCTATCTATCTATCTATCTCTATCTATCTATCTATCTATCTATCTATCATATCTATCTATCATGTCTATCATATCTATCTATCATATCTATCTATCATCTCTTCTGTCTGTATCTATCTTTCTGTCTATCTATCATCTACATCTTGTGCCAAGGAGACAGAAAATCACCTCTCTACCCCATAAATTATATTCTTGCTTTTCTCTTTCATGGAATCAGAGAAAGCCACTTTTTTAAAAAATCCACACCATAATTTTTTTCTAGATTTATCTAAGTGAATCAGAATAAGTCCAACTTTTGTTCTTACTTCTTGCCAGTTCGGCCCTCCATCATCTACTTATTTTCTTTCCTTTCAACTCTCTCTTTCCATTTTGGGGTCGGTGTTTTCTCTGCCCAGTGAGGGGAGAAACTGATAGATGGGCACTTCGGTTGCAGAGTTAATAATGTTGCCCAGCAAAGCCTGGCTGAATCTGGAGATTGAGAGAGATCACCGTACATAAAACTTTCTTTGAAAGCCAGATTTATTGTGGTGATTGTTGTGTCCGACTCTTTGTGACTCCATGGACCACAGCACACCAGCCCGCCTTGTCCTCCACTGTCTCTTGAAGTTTGCCCAAATTCATGTTTGTTGTGTCCACGACGCTATTAGAATAACAAAACAGAATAACAAGTTGGAAGGGACC